ATAAACCTGTCAATACAATTTCTTTGTTAAAAAAAAACATTTGAGGGGCGCCTGGGTGGCGCAGTCGGTTAAGTGTCCGACTTCAGCCAGGTCACGATCTCGCGGTCCGTGGGTTCGAGCCCCGCGTCAGGCTCTGGGCTGATGGCTCAGAGCCTGGAGCCTGTTTCCGATTCTGTGTCTCCCTCTCTCTGCCCCTCCCCCGTTCATGCTCTGTCTCTCTCTGTCCCAAAAATAAATAAACGTTGAAAAAAAAATTAAAAAAAAAAAAAACAACATTTGAGACTGATTAGGCTGCTTCTATTGAAAGAGATGCACAAGGTCTATATCTTTGGATCTTTTATTGAGCTGCGAGGCCAGCATGAATAACTGCTTCTCAGCTGTAAATGAAAATTGATTCCAGGTTTAACTCCTCATTTTCAGGGGTTCTTGAAGTCCCAAGAACCATACGAAGGAAAATTTGACCAAAAGGAAAACTGAAGGCGAGGACACGTGGAGGAAACGCGCATGCGCGCGCTCTCGAGAGGCCTGGCCGACTGCACCGTGCCTGCCAAACCCCAGTGGGCACACCCCGGCGTCGCTGCCCGCCCCAGATGCCTGCCCGGAAAATGGCATTTCAGTGAGTGTTGTATGGGGAAGGTCAGGGCGGGGTTTTGTATCTATGAGGCCAAGAGAGGAGGCTGAGACCTAAAACTGGGACCTAGTCAGCTGGGTGATGGGTATCATGTAGTTCCCCACCGTGTTAGTGATATCCAGCTTTTAAAAACCCAACAGACTGCACCAGGGACGTTTATGTAGTCACTAACTATAAAACGCTGTATCCAATTCAAACACGGTTCTGAAACATTCCAATGTCCAATGTCCATTTCAAGTGATGATTTAGTTCCCATTCCGGGGAAGCTCCTAAGATTTGAAAGCCAGCGTGAGTACAGCATCTCAGCATACCCTCTGTCTTTCTCCAGGGCGAGTTGAGGGGAAATAAGAAGCATAATCAAAAGGTATGACTCAGCTGTCCACCCACATCAGGCCTTTGAAGAAAAACTCATGTTTAGAGACACGTAATTTTCCTGGAGGACTTGGTGTGGTGTCATTGGCAACCTGGCCTTTCTCCCTGTGACGTCTGGTTTAAAACTCGTCAGGGGTCAAAGGGGAGGAAAGGGTGTTCATAGCCAATGGATGCCTATGGGGCGTTTAGGGCAGTGAAGACATTCAATCCGGTTCCTAGCAGATCCCTATGGACACCAAGGCCAAAATGAAGGGCAATATCTATGTACCAATGGATCCAAAAGAAGGGACTTCCAATGAATGTCTAAAAAGGCCACAAGGAAGAATAACCGCTGATTTGTGTAGCGCTTGTGGTTATCAGAACATTCTTCACAACTACACTTGTAATTCTCACGGCCAGGCACACCCAGCTAATACATGTTAGGACAACACAGAACCTTTTCGCTCAGGTTTGCCACACGCTGGCTGTTTTCCAGGAAGTTAATTCAGTGGCTCTCTTTAACATCCTATTCCTTACAACCAAATCGAAAGTCACGCAGCTAGCATTCCAAGAACATGGGATGGTTTAGACTGTTACCGGTGGTAGTGACAATGACTCTATCCATTCACTTAGTTGCTAAATCCTCTGTGACCTAATAAAATAGGTGCTGTTGTGACCCCCATTTCAGACACGCTTAGGTCTTGAGCCCAAGGTCATCCAGTAAGAGGCAGAGCCAGATTCAAACTGTGTTCATCATGGCGTATCTGCTTCCCAAACGGTCCCAAGCAAGAAAGCAAAATGCAGCAGGGAATGTAGAGGAAAGACACAAACTTTTAACCAACATTTCAGGGTATAATCACTATTGCTTCTTCACTGAAACTATGTGCATTAAGTGATTGTGTATCCCTGACTTCAAAGCATCACTAGGAGGTGAAACCTTTTGTTGAAAAGGTTTTGTTTTTGTTTTTTAAACAGTCCTTAGTCTCCACAGCTCACCCATTCCAGCCTCATACTCCATGTTCCCATTTGTAGGAATAATGCTTAGCCTTTAAACACATCCTAACTGTTCTGTTGGGGTTTGTGCACGGGAGCTGCCCAGCCTGGCTAATTACTGCTGTGGAGGGCACCAGTGGCGGGTAGATGATGAGAGACTTGGGACCGAAATGTCATATTAGAAACTGACACATCTTGATCCTGCGTTTCATTTTCATACACACATTGGAAATGCATTCTCATGGGATTCTTTATGTTGCAGACTCCGGCGTAAGGTCTTAGGGGCTTCTGGAAAAGACCGGTATCTACTCTCACTAAGCTTGGACAACTTGGATCTCCTTAGGTGAGTCCAGGTACAATGATGACAGATGAGATGCTCTGAGACTCCCGAAAGCTAATGACTTTTTTTTTTTTTTTTTGGACTACGTTTGCATGAATGTAGCCACCGGGTTCTGAGAAAGTTTATAAGTATAATGTCAGCTCAAACCAATGGTGTGGTCTGGCCACTTGGACGCATCACTTAATGCGCGCTGATGCATTTGTTTATGTGTCCCCCCACCCCCCGCCATCATCCTGGCACAAATAGAATATTGCTGCAATTCTGTAGCTCAGACAGGGGGTGCAAACCTACCTCTAAGGTTTATTGGTGAGGTTCAAATAAGACAGAGCACCTAACTTAATATCAGGCACAGAATAAGGGTGGCTCTGTAAATGGGAGCCCTGAGTTCGCCTCCTGATGTTGCTGGCAGTGTGATGGTCCCGGTTACAAGACTGAAAGAATGTCCGTCAATTGATGAATAGGTAAAGAAAAGAATACACAGGAATGAAGTACTGATCGCTGCTACAACACGGATGGACCTAGAAAACATCACGGCAAGTGAAAGAAGCCGGTCATAAAAGGTCACATACCTTCCGACTCATTTATGAACTAGGCAAATCTGCAGAGACAGAAAGTAGACTATTGGTCGTCACGGAAATGGGAAAAACTGCTTCGTGTATGAGGGATTTCCTTCGGGGGTGATGAAAATATCCTGGAACTGGTGACAGGGGCACAATCTGGTGAATGCGCTACATGGTGACTTTTACGTGCCATGAATTTTACCGCGATGAAACAAAACAGGAAAATCGTTTCGATACACGTATCTTTGAAAAAAGAAAAAGTGAGGCCTCATGAAGTTGGAGCTCAACAAACACTGCTTGGCTCTATCCAGTCCGCTCCTGCACAAACATTCTCTTTTGGTCTTTAGCCTTCCTGCCTTTTAACCAGTCCTCAAACTCTATACCGAGGGCTCATTTATAAATGTTTATAACCTTGCATCTGGTTCTTGCTCCCCGGGCCCAGCGAGGGGGAAGAAGTTGTCATTTTTGCCCTGCCTTAGATCCCCCAGTTCAATCTCCCCTTCAAATGAGAAGCTTTGTTGGTGGAGGCATGACTGGTCTAACGGCAGCATGCCACGGAAAGCCTCCAACGACCAACTAGGATTATCCGGGGGTCTCGGCACTGACACACTCCCCGAACACACATCCTAAAAACCCAGATGATTCGGGCCCACAGACCTGATGCCAGTCCTTCAGGTAAATACAGAATATGACAACGTGAGAAGCTAAAAAGCAGACTGCATGTCCGTAATCCCATAGAGAGGAAGTCAATGCACAGAATCTATTCCCACTTATTGTTGATTACCGTGTTAAACATTTCCATTAAAAAGTAATGCTGCATCTGTCAAACTCAATGATGTAGGATTTTTTGTTTGATTTACCGACACAATCCGTGTCACTGGTATCTTAAATGCAGAAAGCAGCAATAACAGACACTGGTTCACATAGGAGAGGGACGGCTTGCATCCGGGACAGGGACAGCGAGCCCCTGGGAGACAACGGCGCCGGTCCTTGATGAGGTACCCAAGCGCAGAGATGCAATTTTTACATATTACGAAAAACGCAAGCCGAATCAGGAGGAGAAAGTAATGGAGAGTAAAGTGTTGGCCGCATAACATGGCAGATGACTTCAAATTTAAAATTCCACCAAACAGTAGGAGTTTCAGCGTGGCCAACAACCACACATGAGAGCGGAAGAGGCGAGCCTTGGGAGTTTTTCCCAAGCTTGTCTTTGCCGACCCGTCTGAGAACATTTAGCGAGCCTGGAGTTCTGTACTTGACAATTACCTTGACATGAGCATCCCTTGAAACCGTCTGCTTTCACTTTCCCGACTTAGCCAACTTCACCGTAGAAAAGAACTTGGTCAGGTATCAGCTTTAAGAAAAGGCAACCCTTGCACGCTCCTTATCTAAGGTGATAAACACACCCAGGTAGAGCCCACCTGGGACACAGCCCTGTCACAGAGAAAACGCAGAAGCATCACTGGCTCGATACGCTACGCTGCCGCTCTCCTGCTTCGTGGACGATACTTGGCCTTCGCAAACCGACAAGGCCAGTCTCACTGGAAACGCTGCAAACAAGTGTCTGCCATCTCATGTGGTGCTAAGGACTGTAAGTACTTAGGATGCAGCGCGGACGAAGATGGGGCAGCAGCAAGTTTTTGCCACATGCCTCCGGGCTGAAGGTTCGTGCGCGCTGTGGGATGCCGGGCGCCAGTTCTCGGCAGGTGCTCCGAGCGGTGCACCTGGGAAGGGGGGGGGGGGCGCAGCACTCGCGTGATGCCCTAATTAATGAATGAGCGTGGCCTGTGAGCCTCGCAACGGGGTCACTAAAGTTACACCTCACCCGAGATGATGCTTACTTAGTCCAAGAGAGGGAAAGACAGTCTGTGGCTTACTGAGGACCAGTTTGTGCGTTCGACAGGGGAGCGGAGGGAGGGGGTGAAGGGGTGTTCCCCTCACTACAGCTTGAATGACACTGAGAGCCGATTCAACCTGTTCCAGAACACCATGCCGATCTCTGCTTCTTTTCCTCTCTCTAAAGCCCAGAGGTAAAGCAGAGGGTAGGCTTGTAGATGGCAAAGGCATTCCCGTTCTTTCTGCTCCCTCCCGTTAGGTCCCGACCCAAGCCCGAGGCTCCTCCTACCTGGTAGAGCTCAGTGGCGGTGCACTGAGTGGCCAAGGTCTTCACCGGCTCAAGGTCGTCTTCATCACTGCTCAGCTTCAAGTCGTCCTCAAGCATCCTACGAAAAAAGCAGGGTGATGTTCGTGTTACAAAGCGTCTTTTCGAAACCATCCTCAGATACATCTTGCAATGAGGGTAAAATATTGGAGCTACAATCTGACAGCTGCAATTCTGTCAAAGGTGCAGAGGGAACCAAGATTCTTTCAGCTAATTAGATATTTGAGCTCTTATATTTATGTCATACTCCGCACACATCTTCCCGCTCTACCTTCCCCTAAATCAAGGGGAAAAAAAGGACTATTTCAGCATCTCCAGAGATGACTGGAGTCTATATATTTTTACTACTGAAAGTGTAATAAATGTACTGATCAATCACTGTGGAGTGGAACGTGACATTGGATCTCTACAGGAAAAGATGCTCCGAGTCACCCATGAAAGAACAGGGGCATGGTAACAGCCCCTGGCTCTAGAGGCTGCTGTCGCAGCCTGCTGGGGCTCTCTGGATGACAGAGGCAAAAGGCCCAGTGAACTTCCGCTGCCTTGCAGTGCCCTCTGCACTGTGGCAGCTCTGTGGCCACAAAATAGCTGGGCGAGAAATGGCTAGTCATTAACCTTTTGATATATGACCGATCTCTTCCCGTAAAATTTGATCCAAGAGATGTAAGCCCATGATGTGGATGAGAAATCTTTCTCTCCTAAGGCAAGGTACCTGAAAGATACGAACTTTGATGATGAACTAGCACTTTCAAAATTGTTTATCGAGCACACAGAGCCTCTTGTTCCTACAGTGCCATCCGCTCTACCCCCAAACTTGAGCCACAGCAGGAAGAGTGACTGATTATCTTAAAATGCCAGTTACATACTTTTCGAAGAGCAATCGGTGTTAATATTTTTAGGTATTGAATGCAACTATAGACCTCGTTCCCAGCCTTCAAATGGGGGCATTCCCAGCCTCCTTGGACTGATTACCATTTTCTTGCTTCCAGACTCGGAATCAGGCTCAGCTCCCAGGCTACAATTTCCTTCTTCGACTCTGTGAATCCTATTTTTTCTCTATAGCTCAGCCAGATCCCACCTCCTCTGCAAAAGCTTTCAAGAAAGAACCCCCGTCTCAGAAAGGACACCTTTTCCTTCTGCCCCGCCCCCGGCTCCAGCTGGATCAGTGCCCTGCTTTCCGCTGAGTGTCCCCTTCCTCCCATGTGGGCTGCTGCTGCAACTTACTCACTTCTGTCTTCCCAGAAATGATAGTCCACCACCCTCATTTTGCATACAAGGAAAGAAAGGTGCAGAGAAGTCCAGGGCTCTGCTCAAGGTCACACAGCTAGTTGTGCGAGAGCCAGTCCTACAACTCCCATCTCTTAATTTCTACCTGTGTGATTTTTCCAGAAGGGACGTTGAAAGGCAAAAGGCAACTTCTAATGTGATAAATGAGGGAATACATTATTTGAGAACTTATGTTCAAATGTTAGAAAGAGATTCGGGTCAGAGTGGGTAGCCAATAACTCTTCAAAGAAAACACGGCCCCCCTACTCTCATGCTCAGCCACATAAGATCAGGACATGTTCACTGAGGTCTGAAAACCAAAGACCAGTATAAAGAATGATTGCTAGGAAGGATAGCTGTTAGAGTTGGTTTCAGATAAACTAAACTTGTGAGATTTACGACTGTCCTTCATGAGACTAATGGATGTTTTCAAGATCTTAGAGAAGACAAAATGTATCTTCACATTTCTTGCAATTGCAGGCTTAGGACTCCAAACAAATAATTCTTTATAACACATTGTGGCAAACGAAAACGGTATCATTCTCATAAGCTATAGAAGTCAAATATTTTAATACTTATGGTGGTCATAAAGGGCTTCATTTTCTGTGTGTGTGTGTGTGTGTGTGTGTGTGTGTGTGTCTTAATATAGGTGGGCAATGTCTACATGTTAATTTACACAGAAGTGTTGAGCAAAATAAATGATTAACAATCACTTCCATTCAGAAGACCCATTTATGTGTCAGGGAAAGTGCCAAGTATTTGACCAGAAGCTTGTAATTTGGACCCTATGAAGGAGGGGCTATTATTAGCCCCATTTTCCATTGGAACAGTGAGGCTTAGAGAGGTACAGAACTTGTTTGTGATTATGCAAGCTAGGAAATCATGGAGGCAAACATGGAACTGAGACCATCTCCAGCCAGAACTTGAGAATATCTAATGTTTTCCTAGAGGGTGTAATTTACAAAGGATGGTATATTAAATAAAATCAACAGCAAAAAACCCCACAAAACATACTGACATGGAGTCAAGATAATTCGGATTCAAGTGCTGGCTAATCATAAACTCTGATATCTTGGGAAAGGCATTTTCTGTCTCTGTACCTCATCTGTGTCCCACATCTGTTAAATGGGATAATAATTAAACTCTTTCACAGGGTGGAGGTGGGGGTGAGCATCATATGAGCAAAAGCATGTGAAATGCTTTAGGAAGGCACAAAATTAATGCAGGGTATCATTACTTTGGAAATATTGCATCATAGTTAGAAATAATGTACACCATTAACACCATTAACAAGTAATCACAAGCAGAGCCTTTCTGAGACCTTCTTCTCATCTTCATTTGCTGAACAACCTGAAGGTAAACATCTCACAAAGTCTCAAAGCTTAATCCAGAAACGGGTTTATGGGTCTTCTTCAGGGAGAACTAGCACATCCAGAGTCAGATTTCAGTCTTGAACTCAGCAGTTATCTTATTCTCCAACCAACTCTATGTGATTCTAACATGGAAATGAATGGCCTTCCGATGTACAATTCTGGAAACAGGCAACCAATCTCCACAGCGGTTGACATTAAACACCCCGCCCCCCCATGCAACAAGCTCGGTGTGGATTTGGTTGTTAATAAAGGACAACTGGATGCATATATTCAAGTCCTGGTAAACACAAGTCAAGGAAGCAACTAGAAAGGCTCCTTCACTGACCTATTAAGCTTTATTCTTGAATATACATGTACTTGTTTGCATTTCCATCCATAACTAATACTGAACACTACTCTAGGGAATGAGGAGGATTATGAAAGATTTTGGATTTAATTATTATAGCAGCACCGTTCACACCCACTGCAGTTAAGGTAGTCTCAGAAGAAAAATGCTAAGTTCTTTTCAGGAGGTCACAACTGCATAGACAAATTCATCACACACTGGGTATCCTACAGTGTGAAAAAATCTCCCGTGTAGGTAATCTTAAAAAATAATTGTTCTTCCCTTTTCAATTAGATGAAAACAGAACAAAGGGGGCCTCCTCAGTGACTCCAGATGTTTGTTCAGGATCTGGTAGTTCGCAGCGCCTGTCTTTGTGTGAAAACTCTCTGGTTTTTATTTTTACCATGACATATTAATTCTGTATTATCAAGAAATAAAATAGTCCTGGAGTGAGTGGGTGGCTCAGTCAGCTAAGCATCTGACTTGGGCTCAGGTCATGATCTCATGGTTCATGGGTTTGAGTCCCACATTGGGCTCTGTGCTGACAGCTCAGAGCCTGGAGCCTGCTTCGGATTCTGGGTCTCCCTCTCTCTCTCTCTGCCCCTTCCCCGCTTGCATTCTCTCTCTCTCTCTCTCTCTCTCTCTCTCTCTCTCTCTCTCTCTCTCTCTCAAAAATAAATAGTGGAATGCTTAGGTGATTTTGAAGAGGAAACAATAGAAGGCTTGGAACAGGATTACAGAAGGCTCTATGTAAACGAAGCCTTTCCTTGAGGCAGCATTGGCTTACGAGCAAGAGCTTGAGAGACAGACAGACTTGAGTTCAAGTACAGAATTTTCTAATGGGGTTGTTCTCTTGAACTCGTTAATGAAACTCTTCAAATCTTGCATTTTCTCACATGTTTAAATGAGCAACAATAATATCTACTTTGGAGAGTTGGGGAAGGATTAGAAAATAAACTTCCTACAAATTGCCTAGGAGTCAATATATGCTGCTATTGTTATTACCTGAGAAATGGTGCTTTACAGATTGGAACAAGAAAACAAAGAGCTCCAGTGGTGACCCAAAGACAAGCAGAGGTGTCAAATAGCATGGTTCAGAGCTCTTGAAGGAGTTTGCAAAGCTTCAGTGCTTGGGTTTACTCTTCAAGAATGTTTGAAACCCATCATGGCTGTCTGGGGTTTCCTGCGATCCTCCCAGAGCGCTTAAGATCCCCTGGAGATTTGAAAGCCCTGAGGAAACATACAGTTCCAAGGGGAAGTTAAAAACGAAGTAAGAGTGGCCTTGATATCCTGCTCCTTATATCTGTGGTGTGACTTGGTCCCTCACTGGAAGCTGTACTCACCTTGAGCGCCTCGTCGTTGGGCATGCCACTCTCACGAGGAACTTCAAATATGCATTTGGCTCTAAGCTTTGTATAAAAGGCTGGGCTTTGGGGGCACCTGGGTGGCTCAGTCGGTTAAGCATCGGATTGTGGATTTTGGCTCAGGTCATGATCTCACGGTTGGTGGGATCGAGCCCCGCATCGGGCTCCATGCTGGTGATGCAGCACGGAGCCTGCTTGCAATTCTTTCTTTCCCTCTCTCTCTCTCTCTGCCTCTCTCTCTGTGTCTCTCTCTCTTTCTCTCACTTTCTTTCTCTCTCTCTCTCATAATAAATAAATAAATAAACTTAAAAAAAAAAGACTGGGGCTTCAGAGGCTGTTTAGTTGATCCAGAATCCTTGCTCAGAAGCAACCTTCACAATCCTGAACGTGTAGGCTGCAAGCCTACATTGTGCTTTTTTCTGAATTACAAAATGGTACCTCTCTGGGCAGACAGCTTGTCAGGCGTACCACTTGATACTGGCTGGAGTCCAGCTTCCAAGTATCCGTGGAAATAGCTGCCATGCTGGTGACTAACTGTCAGATAGACCCTGGCTCTTACAGTTGAAAGTGCCTGTGAGGGTTATCTATTTCACCTTGCCATCCAATGGAGATATCTACAACATCCCTACCACATGGCCATAAGCCATTGTCTGCTGGGCAGCAGGCAATGCCCTTCTAGAATTCAGGAGCTTTAATTGTTAGAACGTTCTGCCCCTTAGGAATTGCCCTCTGC